CAAAGATCTGTTGCTATGATCCAAGCTGTCTTGGCTGATGGAGGAAAAGCAAACGCATGACCAGGCCGTGTGACTGTGGCTCCAGAGGCTAGAAGTCGTGGCGTTTGATGCCGAGAATTTGTTGGACGAGCTGAATTATGAAGCTCTTCGTCGCCAACTCGTGGGCAAGGTGCGCTCCTTCATCCTGTCCTCTGACATTAATATTGTTTTCCGATGGAGAATGGCCTCTAAGATCAGTGACATCAACAAGAAGTTGTATAAGATCAATAAAGAAGTCAATGATTTTGGACTGATCAGATTCCAAAGGGCAAGTTTCCCCCCTTTACTACTGCTAAAGTCACACTAAATAGAGAGACGGATTCTATTGCTGGCCATTATGTTGTAGGAAGAGCTAAGGATGAAACAAGGCTGGTGGAGATTGCTAAGCTTGTCAGAAAATGCCGTTTCTGTAATTCCCATCCTTGGGATGGGCGGATTGGGAAAGACAACTTTAGCTCAATCTGTATACAAAAATAGTCAAGTTCATAGCCATTTTGAGAAAAAAATTTGGGTTTGTGTGTCCGACAACTTTGACGTGACCAGGCTTTTGAAAATGATTTTAGAATCACTCACAGAAGAAATGTTGAAATGACCAGTAGGGATGTCATCGTCCACGAAATTCGAGAACAACTTGTGGGAAAATTTTTTTCCTTGTTTTTGATGATGTCTGGACCGAAAATCTTACCTTGTGGGATGATTTTTTTCGTTCATTACTGGGGCTAAATGCAACTAATGGAAATTGGTGTGTTGTGACTACTCGTAAACAACAAACTGCATCCATTGTGGCCACACATGATCCTTATGTGCTAGGAAAGCTATCTGATGACGATTGTTGGTCTATCCTAACAAAGAAATTCCCAAACAATTGCATGTCATGAAAAAGGAAATTATAAAAAAATGTGGTGGTCTACCACTGGCTGCAAGTGTAATGGGAGGTTTATTGCGCATGAAGAGAAAAGAGGAGTGGCAGTTGGTTTTGAAGAATAAGCTTTCAAATTTCAGTGGAGATGAAGATGGTGTCATGGAAATACTTAAATTGAGTTTTGATTGTTTACCATCTCCATCCATTAAGAAATGTTTTGCATATTGTTCTATATTTCCTAAGGATACTATGATGAAAGGAGATATGCTAATCGAACTTTGGATGGCAGAAGGTTTGCTCCAAGCAGATGTCACAACCAAATGATGATGGAGGAAATTGGAATGAATTGTCTGAGAATTTTATTACAGAGTTCGTTGTTTGAAGAAACCAAAAGTTATCAGGAAACACATTATTATAAGATGCATGATCTAGTGCATGACCTCGCAGAGTCAATGTCAAAGTCTACTAAAGTTATTAACAATATTCGTTACCTTGCAGTAGATTTATCTGGTGGCAAAGAAGAAGAGAAAAACTTTTGAAGAGGCTATCAACTTCGCTTCGTACATTGTTTGTAAAGGGTGACCTATCTGGTGATATGTTAATGAAGTTGAAGAACTTGTATGTTTTGAATTTGTCTCATGCAACAACTCAAGAGCTACCGATCACTATTGGCAAATTGACACATTTGCGATATGTTAACCTTTCGAGTTCTAGAATCCGTATTTTGCCAACTCCCTTTGCAAGCTTTATAATTTGCAGACATTGGCACTAGATAGCATGTATGTCAAAGATCTTCCAAAGGGGATGTGCAATTTGATTAGCTTGAGACATCTATACTTTTACACCTTTGATGAAAAATTTCAAATGCCACTAGAGATGGGACGACTATCTTGCCTTCAGACACTAGAGTTCTTTAATGTGGGTCGAGAAAAGGGTCGACAAATTGAAGAGCTTGATGCTTGAAAAACCTCAAAGGCAGTTTAAGTGTACGCAATCTTCAACTAGTAAAGGATAGGAAAGCAGCTGAGGAAGCAAATCTATTTGGAAAGGCAATCTATTTAGGCTGATACTTGTGTGGGCCTTGGCTTGGGATCGAGAAGGTGACAACTACAACTACGACAAAGATGTGTTAGATGGCCTTAGGCCTCATCCAAATTTGGAGGAGTTGGTAATTCAACGTTTTATGGGTGATCAATTTCCTCGATGGTCAATGGATTTGCCAATAACACTTCCCAAGTTAGCGCGTTTGGAGTTTTATTATTGCCACAGATGCAGAGAACTCCTTCCCTTGCAAAACTTTACGTTTCTTAAAGAGCTGTGATTTGGTTTTGCCGTGGGTTAATGAGTCTACCCAGTGACATGCTACAGTCTTGTATCTCTCTCCAAAAGCTTCAGGTGGCTTATTGCGGCAAGCTTATCTCCTTTCCGCTTGATTTGCAACAAACGCCTTCTCTTTTGAGTTGGAATTATATGCGTGTCCCAAACTGAAAACAAGTATGACGCCCAAAGGATTTGGTTTCCTAACCAGCTTAAATCGCCTTGAAATTGGTCCCTTCTCAGATGATGATGACCATGAAAATTCTTCAATTTACAATGAATTTGATTGGTCTGGATTGATATCCTTCTCTCTTTGTCATCCATACTATGTGACTAGAATTATTTGGGTTGCCACACATGGAGTCCCTACCACATCAGATCCAATACTTGACCACTCTCACGTCACTTCGGCTACATGACTTTGGAGGTATAAAAGCTCTGCCAGATTGGTTTAGAAACTTTGCTGCTCTTGAATACCTATGTTTATTTGGTTTCAAAGAGCTTCGACATTTACCCTCTGAGGATGCCATGAGAAGTCTCACCAAACTAAAAGTTCTACTGGTTTATGGTTCTCCTTTGTTAAAAGAAAGGTGCACTCTGAGAGCAGCGGCCTCGACTCCCAGTGGTCCAAAATTTCTCATATTCAACTCCTATTAATAAGCGATTAACAATTCATCTTCAGATCAAATTCAATCATGTAAGATTGCTTGCTACCTACGCATAAGACATCTTTGCCTTCTCTTCACTTCCCACTCTAATCAACCTTCTCGATAAGTGTATTATACATTCTTTTAAGTAGTATTATGTGCTTATTTTTTGGTATAATTTAGGGTTTTTATGGTGTAACTTGCTCTCTAAGTCTCTAACTTTTGCAAGATTCATTTAGGAAGTTGAACGTGCAAATGTGGTTATATTGGTAGGATTTGGAGAATTATCAATATTGGATCGAGGCGAATTCATTTGAATTCATTAGTGCCTGATTAATGATGATTTGGAATTAGAAGAGCATCAAATGCAAGTATTATTGTTCATTGCATGAACAAACATTGGGACATCTTGCTTATGATCTTAGTGAATTGGATAGAAAGACACAAGAAAACGTAAGAAAAGAGAAAACACAGGCTCTGAATACACAGTTGAGGTCACATATTCCAAGCCTGCTTATTCTCCCCTATTTTTTTGTAACTTATTTTGCAACTTGCCCTATTTTCACACTTCTTTTTGCTCAATTCTAGCACAGAATTTAGCTACACATGCTCAAGAAACTCTAGAAAAGTGCAAAAGAAACTTTATGTCATATTATTTAGCACTTTTTGACTCTCTTGAACACTATATATTTAAGAATCACTAAAGAGAGAAAGAAGAGAAGAGGAGGGACAAAATTACTGCAAGGAGAAGACGTGAGTGCATTTAGCACTATATATGAAAGAATCATTTAGCACTTTTCCACAGTGATGCATGTGATGTGCAAGGAGAAGACTCGCCGACCTCTTGCTGCATTTTTTTTTTGCTTCATATTTCTTGTAGTTTTATTTTAACTCTTTTTATTGTACAAGTTTAACTTGAACTTCTCATCTTGCATTTGGGACTTGTGGCAGTTTTCATAGATGGTTGTAGATTCGTCGATGGCTCGTGATTCAAGATTGAGCTGGATCTCAGCCATTGAATTGGGGAGTAACTTGTTTTTACTTTTTCTTCTTTGCTTTCCCTACACATTGAGGAAAATGTGTATATTAAGTGTGGGGGAGGAAATGCTGTTAAGTAGGAGTCACTTTGGTGCTTATATGGTAAATGCTTGGATATGATATTAGAAATTTGTCTTGTGCTTAAAATTGTTGGTTTTTGGGTTTGCTGGCAAGGAGTTTCATCCAGTTTTAAAGAGAAACTCTGTCAAATTTTTTCAAAATCTTGTCCAAATTTCAAAATTTGCCCCAAGTCTTTCACAAATTGTTCATTTAAATCCACAAGTGCATGAAGTTCATGTCCCTTTTGTTTTAAAATTCTCCTATACAAGTGAGATGATTTTAGTAATTGGACAATTCAATTCTCACTTGACTTGGAAACAATTATAATATGACTAGAATTATTGCATGTAAGAAAGTATATCTTGTAAAATAGAGAAAATTATGCCTACATTTTGCATAGTAAATGAAATCTCTCATCTTACTTATTTTTACAAGTAATTGATTTATATAGTTGCTAGAATATTTTTCTTCCAAATGTGACCTTATTGAGGGATTTTATGTTAAAAAAATTCAATAAATTCTTATATTGAGTAACCGAGAGTTTTATCTACAAATATCGACTTTTGCGTCAAAAGGTATTGGAATTGGGAGTAATAAGTGAAATTTTGAGTAACCAGAAATCTTCATCTAAAAATGTCAATCTTCATCAAAAGGTATTTTCACAATTTTAAGAGTAAATAAAAGAAAAAAGAAAGTGAATAGTTCCCTCTTAAGGTTTGTGAAGCTAAACATCTCATTTAGAAGGAAGAAAATCTCCAAGGTAACTATATATGTTAGTTATTTGTGAAATTAGGTAAGATAGAGAGATTAAATTTGTTTGGTTGAATTTTGGGTGTAATTATCTCTCTTTTACATGATATGATGAGTATTACAGGTAATAGGAAAAAATTGCATAATCAAAGCTTGCCAAAGTAAGAGAGATTGAGTTTCAAGTTCACTTGATCATTTCACTTCTTAAATTATTGCTGGTTTGTATTTTTTATTGCTCGAGAAAAGTAATGATTTAAGTGTGGAAAAATTATATGAAAAAAACTAAAAAGTTCCCGTGGTTATTCTTCACAATTTTCTCTTCTTCATTTTTCTCATCCTATTTATTATCTTTCAAAGCTGCGGCATTAGCATTTCTTGTCAAGTGCAAAATACCGTGCTTCTCATTTACTCCTAACAACATAATACTCTTGTAACCATCGATTAACATGAAACCAAGCACCTATCCTGTTCTGTGCTTTGATGTATTACTATAACTCTGTTAATATTCTGTTCCACACTTTGTTTTTGTAGGATTGACAGAACAATAGCTTCACGATATTATCTAAATTGTTTTGTTAGATCTCTTGTTTACTACATAATGTCTGGCTTGAATTTTCTATTTTGCAGTGATCTTAGGCTCAAGGTTTAAGTGGAAATCTCCATTGGCCATTAATTACTCATTGAATTGCAAGGCCAGTAGCTTGGACAAAAATATTTATGATGGCAATTTTTCTTTCGTCGGAGCCTTATATAGCTTGGTGCCTTATATAGCCAACACTTGATATCCTTGTTGTCGGAGCTTGCACATTGTCTATCTGCCTTTTCAGTCACGAGGTCCAGCAGTAAGAATTTACCTGCTATATTACTATAAATTTGCTTAATTTTTTCCCTGGCTTTTTGTCTTTGAAACTAGTTGTACCTCAATTGCAGAAAGTTTTCTGTCTCTGTTTTGATTGCTCAATGACTGTCAGCTGGCCTGTACAATCTACTGGGAAAAAATTTCTTGCCCCAGCTTATCAGATGTTTTTGAAGAGCCATCATTACCAGGACTTTTGATGATCTTTATTGGCAGTTTGATGCCTATTACTTGAGAAATAGATTGACCATTAAGAGGTTTTGCAAACTTTCGAGTGTTATCGCAAGGTTAGCATATCTAAGTCAAAAAAATATACATACATTGTATCGAGTCCTAGTACCTGCTCATTATCTTTAGGGTAAAAGTGGCAAAAGAAACTCACTTTTGTAAGATTCCCATCACAAGAAAATGTAATAGAACTTCCTGTTCTTTCATAGTTATAATGCAGGAACAAGCTTTCTCGAGATTTTAAATATGAGGGCTTTCATCAAACTTAGGCATACACACCACCATTTACTGTGAAAATTTTATTTTCTTATTGATTTGTTTAAAAAAAGGAAAAAGATAATGCATTATATTCATGGAGTAAATCCTCAAATGAATGTATGTCAAAGCAAAAAAAATTGTGAACTAGCAACCGCAGACAAAGATTTTAGACTTTTTAATTTATAGCTTCTTTTGTTTCTATAGGAGAACTTACTCTAATGAAACTTTTATGAAGATTTCTATTTGTTACCTTTTGTGAGGTGATATAGATGGTAACTAAAATGATTAAGTTGCAAAGTTTAGGAGGATCTGCTTCCAAGGATGTTGTCTAGCAGTGCAATAGCTGGAATTTGAGAGGATTCCATTGTGCACCTTTAGACCAGCAATTCTTGCCGCGCTCCTTTCTTCAATGCTTCCCAAGATGATTTTTGTGGTCTCTTGCTTAGATGAACATAGTTAGAATTGTGAAGCTTCTTCAGCACCGTATATATTGCCGGAACTCAATAATTTTTTGCCTACAAATAGCCCATCGACATATAATAACAACTAGCGGTCTAGTTTTGTTGATTTTCCATATTTGCTTCTGTGGATTGTAAGATATTATTGCTAAAGTCAGCCCACTCTCTTTAAACTTGTGATTCTAAGGGGATGAAATGGTTTCTCTGTAACTTTTACCTCTCAAAAATGCATTTAGATACTTCTCTGAACCATTTGATTAGTAATAGCTCTGGGTCTCAAAATAATGGTTTTTTTGACTCACTTTTTCTCGGTTATGATTTTCTAGCCATGAAGACAATGGTCAATCAAGGGGCTTTCGCATCATCGCTTTGGTGTTTTGGTTCAAATTTCTGGTAATTTAAGATACGCTTCTCTTCTTTCACTACTCAATTTGACTTTTAATCGCTTTGATTTTTAATATGCTACATGTAAAACAAAAGAAATCTTGTCATTGTGAAGATATTGCCGAGGTAGCCGAGGACGATGTACTGTTCATGCAATGAAGTTGCACAAAACTTGGTACTTTTTTTTTTTTTTTTTCAGAAACGATAGAAATTTTATTTCTTATAATAAGGAAGTAACACTGAGGACTAGGCCACTGAGGAGCTTTGAGTTCCTCATCAAAGTATATGCATAGCTAATCTACTCAGTTTTGCACTGAGTCTGTTCATTTCAACAGGCACAAAACTTGGTACTTGGTGGAGTATCTTCCAACATGGTCAAGTTTAAGCAGGATGTTCTGAAGCATTTCAGAAGTTAGTCAAGTCTGCTTGTTGCAACATGCTGCTCTTAGTGAATCCACCCAGATAAAGGTTATTAAGCTCCCCCTGCCTTTTGTGATTGTGGGTTGCTATTTTTTTTATGGTAAGTTTATTCTTTTGGCGGTCCGGTTGGAATGACCAAAAACTTGCGATGATATAAAAATTTCCATTAGCTTTATTCTTTGCTATATGCGGTCTAGACTTTTGAGTTTTTGTGCTTTGCAGTGATATTAGGACCAAAACTGAAGGGGGAACCTCGCTGATGGATCTTACATACTGTGCTTACTTTTTGAAAGTCCTACGATTCCTTGCTGAACAAGATCCTGCTTCAGTTGGATAGTAACATCTAGCATGCATTCTCTTTTGCTCTGTGCCTCAGATGACCAAAGGCTGAGATTCTCACTGTGGTTATGGTGACTTTGAACTGTCCAAATGATTCAGCAATTTGTAGTCACAATAACGAGGGGCTGATTTACTTGTAACTCAATTAGCTATCTCTGGCATAGTGCTCGTCGTTAGAAGTTAGAACTAGCTGGTGTTTTGGCTGCAGTTATATGTGGATTCTGTTGTGACTTAAATGGCCCTTCATTTTCTGAGTTAAATTGCGCAACGGATCTTCAGTCCCACACTCTATGTCACTCTCTATCACATTTTTTATTATATTGCTATTTCTCCTTCATAAACATCATGTTTTAATTCTTTTTTGTTTCCTTAAGATCCAATAACTATTAATTCAGTAAAAAATAAATATAACGGTTTCAAAAAAGTAATATATAATAGAAAATTTAAAAATACAGCAGAAAATTCATAAAAAATCTCATTTTTATGCATTTTGATTTTTTAAATTTGTTAAATTTTGTGTATTACAAATAAATATAACAGTTTAAAAAAAGTAATATATAATAGAAAATTTATAAATACAGCAGAAAATTCATAAAAAATCTCATTTTTATGCATTTTGATTTTTTGAATTTGTTAAATTTCGTGTATTACTGAATTAATAGTTATTGGATCTTAAAGAAACAAAAAGAATTAAAACATGATGTTTATGAAGGAGAAATAGCAATATAATAAAAAGTGGGACAGAGAGTGACATAGGGTGTGAGACAGAAGATCCGCTGCGCATAAATTGCTTTGCATGTGCCACGAATTGCCCATCATTATTTTCAAGTTTATGAGTTGTGATGACTTACTTTGCGATTGGAACCAAACTACTATGATTTTTATAGGAATCGTAAATAAGACTTAGTACTTGCTTGCACAGATTTTGGTCTGTTGTGAGATTGACAGTACAAAAGTATGGTTAAATTATCTAAACTTTGTCATCAGCTTTCTTCTTCACCACATATTGCCTCAGTTTGAGTTTTCTGTTTTACAGTGATCTCAGTGTTAATGATCAACTGGACTCTACAATTGATCTTACTTACCGACAGAAATACACAGCTTGTAACTTCTGAAAACTCTGTTGAATCAATCCTGTTTCAACTGAACAGAAATGTTTAGGATGGCCGCTACAGGCACACTTTTTTTCCTCCTTAGTGTCTAAAACCTTTGCAGGAGCTTGTGGCACTATCAGCCAACCTTTTGGTAGATGATTTTTGCAAAAGTTCAGCCTTTTCCTACACAGCAGCCATAGAATAAAAGAGAACTTGGTGATTTGTCCCTTGTCCCAATACCTGGGCACTTCAGGTGGTGCAAGCCTAAGAATTGTAAAGCAGACTTGACATTATACACACCTGAGTTGCTGGGTGCCCATACAGTGACATCTCTCTCCTTTGGATTAAGGGCTGGTTCACCAGAAGTGAGCTGTCGAAGCCTTCTAACTTCCATATTAGACTTCCCCCACTAGGCCATTTCCAAGCACCGTCACAGAAACATTTTGCCGCAGGATCAGACTTCGATAGATTGAAGTGCAGATACAATGGCCCTATAGGGTGCCATCGATCACACCAAAAGTTGGTTTCCTGTCCATTTCCAATCACCTCGTTAATGAAGCCTTGACCTATAGTTCTCAATTTTAACAGTTTGGATTGGCTCTGCTCTCCAGTCTTCATTATCTTCTCTGTTAACTTAATGAAACTAAAGTCAAGTTCCTGGTTGAATCACAATGATAAACTCACTTTGGTATCGCATTAATCAGAGCTTGTCACACCTTATTTTGCACAAAATTTACTTGGGTTGCCATTTTGCAAGAACTTTTAAGAATTATATTATCTGATGCTTATTAAGTGTATGTCGCAGTCCAGCTCCCTTCATCATATTTCTGCTACTTATGCTAGTTGGTTCTATGGGTTGAAATGGTTGCCATTTTCTATCCAATTTCACCGCATTACATGTAGTTGGTAGTGTATTCATTTCTTTCAGATTGCCATCTAATTCATCTTTCATGCGTATTGGGATTAGCAATTCTTGGCATTCAATTTTTGTTATTCGACTTCTTCAGGACCAGCCGCCATATGTATAGCTGGAATTGCCAATGTGTAATGGCATCTTGGAGGGAGAGTTCAGTTTTATTGCTGATTTGCTAACAAAGGAAAATAATGACTTTTATGTAAAAGAAATGAAGCTTTGCACCATAGTATGTCTGAGCACAGAAAATCGCTTTGAGATTTAAGCAATGGAATCATTTCTTCTTCTTTCAGATTTTCCAGGATCCGATTTTGCATTTCACTGGGTGAACACCAATGGCTATCTACTTTTCTTGGTTTACTGGGGCTTGGGCCAGAATCAAATTGATAGACCGTTTTTATTGCCAGTCGGCCTGAATTGGCAGTTGGGCTTCTTTGACAAATATGCTCATGTGTCCTTCGGCCAAGAAATCGCAGAAGTTGGAGTGGGTTTGGGGCGGGCGTAGGGGTGGCGAGGTATCGGGGGGGGGGCAGGGAGCTTTTTGGACAAGGGTGAGGTATGGAGAGGGCTTCCCCGCCTCAAATCCACCCCGTTATAATCATTTAGAAGGCCTAACAATTATTTTAATTTAAAATAACAAGCCTGATTATTGAGCCAAAAAGCAAAACATAACTTAGTTTTTGGCTAATGAATTGTTCATCAGTGACAACACAAAGTCATCACAGAACATACAAATATCGTCACAAATACCTTTTATTGACGACTTTTTGATCGTCACAAAGTCGTCACTAAATCCCCGTCGGTAAAAGTAAACAGTGACGACCTAAAATGTCGTCACTAAATAGTTGTCATTAGTGACGACTTTAAGTAGAGCATTTTTGACAAAAGATCAAGTCGTCAATAAAACACTTCCAGATTGTCGTCACTAATGACAACTATTTAGTGACGACCTGAAATGTCGTCACTAAATAGTTGTCATTAGTGACAACAATCCGGAAGTGTTTTATTGACGAATTGACCTTTTGTCAAAAATGCTCTACTTAAGGTCGTCACTAAAAAGCACCGAAAGCCATTGTATATAACTATTTTACTGACAACAATTGTCGTCACAAATGTAGCTTAGATTTAGTGACAGTCTCTGTTGTGACAAGGAGTTTTTATTTTCTATTTTGTGACAACTTTTTTTTGTCATTAGATAATTTCTCATTAGTGACAGCCTCCGAAGGTTGTCACTGAGCTTTGTTTTGAAGAGTTGAAATTAACCATTATGAATATAGCATTGTCATAGCAATTTCAACAAATTATAGTAGAACATTCAATTTGACAAAAGGCAAAATTCATGTAGAATGAAGCTACAAATTCATATATATGGCCATAAACATTTGTGAATTCATCAAAATAGAAGTTAACCAGAAATGTTGTGTCCCAAAACCCACATAATCAATTCAAGCACTAATGGCCAATATGCATCCTTCCCAAAAAATAGAGTACTAGCTTTCTAAACTAAAGCAAAGATTGCACCACCAATGTCAGACTTCAACCATCTCTATCATCATATCCAACAATCTCCTCGTGATCAATATCAAACTGGACTGCATTGAGAATAAAATATTATATGCATTAGAATAGACTTTAGTAAAAAAATATGCTATTACAACCTTACACAAGTTATCTAAGTACAAGAAACAGTTAAAAAGTTGTGTATTATCTAAGTACAAGAAGTTAACAAGAAGTTTAGATTATAAGGACTAGAAACTGACAATGAATTGAGTTTCATACCATCTACATGCCATTTTAAATGATTCACAAGCATTATATTGTGATATTGGATATCTTCTTTATTAAAAAACTTGTTCAAATCACATTATGAGAACATCTAACTTTTTGATTATCAAAGTAATTGACTTCGAGGCCTGGAACAGCAAGTACTTTTGTCAGTGGACAAGGTTAGATCATATTGGGTGAGTTTGCGTTGCTCCATAGTTGAAGTGATTTTACTTGAGTTCTGTCCACAAACTCTTTGGTTGTCACAATGAAGTAATCTCAATTAGCCAATACGGCATAAATATCCACTTGTGAAAATACATAAGGAGTTCCTCAAAAAATAGGTAATTTTGGAAATTTACTGATTGTTGCTAAGTGTGGTTCCTAGCACAGATCCACAGATGTACTCTTAGTGCTAGCTATGGTCCATCCCAAATTCGATAATCAGAAGCAACTCCAATCTATTACTTACTCACACAACCATCTAACAATCACAGGACTTCTGATAGTCATCAAATAACTGATGTTCTACTTCATGTACCGGTCATATCACTTATACCAATATCACCAAATCCTTTAAGCAAACAAGAAAACAAAAACAGATAACCAGCATGATAGCTGTTCTGAAGACAAATTTAT